TCTTTAGCCTGGCTGAAGCAAAATGCATCCTGAGCTTTCTACACAGCTTTTCATTTTCTCTCACTCTGCACTTGTTTCCTGAGTACCACACAAATTTTCACACTTGAACAGCAACTTTTCTTGGTTAGTGGTTAGATCTAGAAATTTTCCATGCTACCCAAGCTGAGAAATTCTCTAAATAGTCCCCACTACTATTTATTTGTATTTAGAAGTTCTAATTGTTTGCTTTTCTATAATTAATCCTCAAAATCCATCCAGTTCAGAAGGATTTTTTTCACCTCCAGGATAAGGCTCTACATTAGGGTCTAAGAACTGAAATGCAAATGTTTGCTTTTAATTTCTGTGGCAGAGAATTTAGCCCCAGTTCTTGGAACATCTACATCAGCTTCCTATGAGGTGGTAAATTCAGAGCTGACTCAACAAAATTCATACAGACAAGATTAGCTTTGCTTTCACTGAGCTAAAGGAAGGCACAGAGCTCTACCTTCCTAAACAGAAGCATCTACCCAGCCCATGAAGGCAAAGAAGATGCAGAAAGGTGCCTTCTGACATGCAGCAGACAGACTTCTAATGGTGATCTTCAACCATGGGAAGTTCACATGGCAATTTAAGGGGCAAAGGTGGGATGGGAATAGTGGGATGTGCAAAATTGAGCATTAAACTTGCTCACATTTGTCTCTCTTGATTTTAGATGCCTCTAATAAAGGGGATGTGCCCTATTTAAATAGTCCCTAGACTCCAGTGCTGGAAGGAGACTTGAGGGCTTATCTAGTCCTGTCTAGATAAGCTCCATCACTGCCACTGCTATGGCTCTTGCCTTGTCCCCCTCTCCATCATCATTCCTCAGCTTCAAGTTATTTGGTCCATTATTTTTGCAAAGGTTTTCTAGACTCTTTTTTTCATTCCCATTGCTGCTCCATGCTTTTCTCAGTGTGCAATGCCTACATCTTACCCGTGGCTTCACTGTCACAGCACAAAACAAGGGATTTCTTTGCATGTGCTGTACAGTTCAGAGTTACATTTAAATTTTTCATGTGTGACATTTCCAACTGGTCTTCATCATCCAGAGAACTGCTGGAAATAGTGAAAAACCAAAGGCTCACCTGGGCACCACCTCTCAGTGCATCCTTCTCTTCTGGCAGTTAATCACCGCCTCTTAATACGCTCTTCCATTTGGCACTGTTTTGAAACCTTTTAAAGACACTTTCTTTTCAGGGATTTGCCAATAAATTTCATACTCACCTCATAATTCATCTAAGTTATATTTCCATAATTTTACAGATAATATAAACAATTGTTACTGAAATCAAGCAAAGAAATGGTATCTTGGGTAAGGAGCTCACTACAGGGGCTGTCTTAGGACTTGGGCACTTTATAATATTTGTGCACTTTGCAGGATTAAATACACTTGATTCACTATAACTTCCTGGTAATAAAAAGAAGAGAAGGAGCAAATATGACCATGCAATAATACACTTCATTTACCAGTTCCTCAATATTTTTTTTCTCAGACCAAGGAAATTATGATTGCAAATAAGAATAGGAAGGAAGTTATCTGTATTATTCAGCTGTATTTACGTGGGGAAGTATTAAGGAACCCAGTCTAGGCATTGGTGTGTTAAGAACCTTGTGGCAGTACTCACTACATGAAAACAAATACATCCAAGAGTTTTTAATGTTCCTCACATATTTATCTCACAACTCAGCATCAAAGAAAGGAATAGTTAATATGAGTCATGATGACCCTTATCCAGGATGCTTGGCAGAAAAGTTCTCAGTCACTAAACCATTTAAATTCTGTTTTCAAAGTCAGGATGGATTTTCAGGATGGATTTGTCTCATCCAGCTGGGGATACCTAAAAGACCTGTTGTGCTGTTTAACAATTGTGGGCAAATGGAAGGCAGAGAGAGAGGAGATAAGAGTGACTCATCTGGTGGATGTAGATGTCCAGAAGAGGAGGTGAATCACTTTCTAGATGCCCTTATTGACTCTCCACTGACTCAAGGGGGAACTCTGACAACTGTACTGACCATACAACTCCCTCTTGAATGGAACCCTGTGGACATGGTAAAGATGCTTCATTTAAGGTGTGAAATTTGTGTGCCTCGTGTCAGCTCCATCTCAGTTTTATGGGAAATAAAAAGTGATTAAAACCTGTTTGGCCTTTATAGATAATTAGGCTGGATGAAAATTTTCTGATGATAATTTTGAGGACATGGTATAACTCTGGCTTCCCCAAACTTTTGCCCTGCAGCAGAGCTGGATGCTGCTTTGGAGATTGGGAAAGGCCCTTGTGGGTGCATAATGTGAGTTCACAACCACCATTACTGTAATTTTTAAGGATGCATAAGCTGATTAACAGAGTTTAGGTAGCTGCTAGAGCCACCCCCACACCCTCCCTGGGAAGGTCCATATGAAATGTTGTTTCCTTGAATAGAGGACTCACATAAGAGTGATTCACAGCAGAAAAATTGAATAAAACACAAAGCTTGCTTATTTCAGTGAGTTACATGGATGTTTACAACTGCTTTGAACTGGGAAGGACTCCAATAAGATCAATTGTTGCCTTTTCTTCGAGCTGGCTGAGAGACCAGTTTAAGGAGAGGACACTCCTCCAGACCAAATGAGTTTGTGCAGAGTTTTAAAAGCACTTACAGGGTTTCAAAAGGCCCTTGTTAAACCTAGACCTAAGAAGGCTGTAGCTCTGTTTGTGGTTTGCTCCCTGACAACTCCATTTCTGTACTTGTGGTCTTGTTAAAAATAATCTTTATAATCTTGTCTGTGGTGGCCTGAGCTACGTGACAGGCTCTTTTCCTCCCAGCTCTCTGCTGAAAAATAGGACTTACTTGAGCAGCAAAACTCTGCTGGTCAATGGAGGAGAGTCAAGTAGCAACAGATATACCAGCACCTTCTTTTCATCCTACATCTTCCTTAATTCTCAAAATGCCTTTTTTCTTTTTTATTTCCTCCACCACTTCCCAGATACACACTGAGTTTTCACAGCACCTCCCTTCCTTTATTGCCATACCTAATTCTGTTGCTAACATCTCATGTTAATCATCTAAATTATGATGCTAGTTTCTCATAAACCCCAGTTTTTATCTGTGCCTGGGTGTCTTTCTCCCTTGCTGGGTCTCTCTGTTCTCACACTCCTCTTCTCTATCTCAGGTCTGTTCCTTGCAGAATCCACACTGTTTCTTTTTGTAGAATCATTCAGCAAACTGACTTATTTCCAAAAGCTGATCTGGCTAATTCCTCTCACAAATCATAACTGTTTTTTTCTGACCTTTAAGAGGTGTAAATGCTGAGTTACAGGTCTTTCTCATGCAATCTGTGTTTGTAGCAATGAGCCACCTGAAGTCACCATTCCTTCCAGTACAACTGACTGTACTTTCCATTCATTTCTGGATAAAAACTCACCTTTTCTCATAAAATCTTAGTGGCTGTTACTAACCTGTACTGAGGTTTGTTACCTGAAAGCAAATGTCTGCATGAAAGATTGAGCTGGAGGACTGCAGGAAACTTCCCTCTGTGTCCACCAGTAAAATAGCTGTGGAATTAAATAGTTGGACCAAGCAAGAAATTGAAGCAGATTTTGGCAAGTAAATCCCTTCACCTCAAAAGAACAGACCCTGTATTTAGTAAGGAAAGGATAAAAAGTTTGGGATTTCTTTCCAGGCAACATAATAAATACGTTTTGCCAGCAAAGATGACTGTAGGGTTCAGACAGTTACGTATGTCCAGGCATCTTGGAAAAAAGATGAAGGATTGGGATCTAAGACTTTCAGACAGATTTTTCAGGAGTGAAACTCTCTAAATCCTTTTGAGGGCTTTGGCATGAACTTTTCCTATTACACTGTTAAATACAGAAGATGATTTGATACTAAAGCAAAGGCAGTAAATACCTGTGGAGTGTGAAGCAGCCCCGGGGTGAGCAGAGCATTTTACCCACAGCAGTTGCTTCAGAAGTCTTACTTGTTCTCCATGCCCTGTTGCATTTGGATTTGAGAAGTAATCTCCTGGCAAAGCCTCGCAGCTGGCAAACCCTGCAGGAGGATTTGTCACCTGCATCACAAAGCTGCACAAAATCTCTCATGGCAAGAGCAAAGGGAGCTTTATCAGGAAAAAGGTGGCAAACTGATAGATGCAGCCATAGCAGCAGTTAAAAATATATCACATCTATTCCTTAGCTTGCCTGTTCAGAAGATTTAATTCCTTGAGGATTTATAAAGGAGAAATAAATGCCCAGCATGTATTAATCATGATAGAATACCACAGATAGTTTAAATATGGGTTTTTTTCTGTAGTCTATCCCAAATAATTCTCTAGTTACTAAAAGGAAATAATTTCTGTGGAAATGAAGAAAAACTACATAAAGTGTGATACTTCCTTGGTAATTTCCAATTTTCCACTGGCATTTGGAAGAATTTCAGTGAAGCATGTCACACCCAGACAATTTGGGAACAAGGAAAACCTTTTCCAAACCTGCCAGCCTCACCCTCATTTGTGTTTTCTTAAAATCAAGCTGTCCATCCTTCAGAAGCTCAGCTGTGATTCAGAGAAACTGCACACATGCTTCCATTAAAATCAAATACAGTGTGGCTTTATCATCACTAACAGAAGACCTCTGGAAAGCCAAAAGGATAAGCCATGGAACCTTTTTTTCTGCAGGTAGAGCCCACAGATGTTGCCTGAGATCCATTGTCACACACCAGACATCTATTCCACAACCATGGTCCCTCTCTGATACCTGTCCAGTCACAGATTTGGGGCTGAGTGCCTGAACAAGCCTATTAAAGTCTCCCCCCTTCTACTGACCTCAGCTGTAGTGAAATGTGAAAGAGCTCTGGAGCCAGGAGCTCTGATGTGTCAAACCACTTCCTACACACGATGGCACGCTCTGCCACAGCAAGCATCGAGTTTGGTTTCCTGGATAACAGACTAATACCTGAACAGAAAGCAGCCTTTGTTCTTTCCCGTGGAGCCAGCAAAACGATGATTTGCTGACCAAAGCCCTCCCTGCACACGTGGGTGATGTTCCCAGACAGCCTCATCAGGCAGTAATCAGCTCCTTGGCTTGGTTGGCAACAGCTCATCACTTCTGAGAAACTTCACCATCCTCAGAGGTGTGGAGAAAAGATGTGGACAAGTCCCATGGAGCTCAAGTGGCTTTTGATGTGGGTCTTGTTTGGATTCATCAAGGGGAAGAAGACAGGTAAAAGACTCTTTTTGCCTTTTGGGGAGGAAAAATATGATTTGGGTTTTTTGGTGGCTGTTAGGGGGTGTTCACAACATCCTGACTCCTTTCAGCAAAGGAAAGATGTTAAGGAGCTTAAGGAATTTATTATTCTAAGGAAATGAGAGAAATGGCTTCTGTGCCCACAAACTGTCAACTGCAGAAAATCCAGAGCTTTAGAGGATATTTTTTGTCTGACTAATATATGTATCCTCCAACCCATCATTGGAACAGTGGGCAGATCAAAGCAGCCTGAGGCAGCCCTCTGTATTTCCTTTTTCCATTTTCCTTGTAACTTCAGGAAACAAAAATAGACACTGAAATGGCGGTACCTCCGTAGGTAAAATTGGTGGCAATGCTATTAGTTAAAAGGTACCATACAAATTTGCTATGGGTACTATAGATATGAAATATTTTTTCAGCCATGCCTCTCAATCAGCAGTGCCTATGAACTATGAATGGAGACAGCTAATCCAATTCAGCATAATTTTACACATTTAAAAATGGTGACACTGCTTAGATTTGGTTTATTTATCGTGACAAGTGTGTGCATTGAGAAATGGTCTGGTGATGCATTAGTGTATTTAAATTTAAATTTCTTTGTTCAAAGGCAGGGAAAAAATCTTCCCTTCTCAAAGCTCCAAAAATGTGCTGTTTCCTTCTGTGTCTGATGATGATGTCCAGGCTGAGAGGTATGAACAGACACAGCCTAAGGCAGGCTCTCAGATATGCTGCTACTGTAGCTGCTGATGGATCATCTTTAGCAGGGCTGGGAATTTTCCTTGGGGCTGGCTATCTCAAGGGGAGAGTGTGTTGCTGATGACTGAACTCATTAATGCAGGAAGGACCTTCACAAATGTTGAAGCCCCAGGTGATTTTATTCTCATTATTTTGCCAGTAAATGCTGCACCTTCTCCTTCACGGAGCGTTTTCACTGCCAGATGAGGTGCCAGAGCCCACGGGAAGTGCTTGGTGCTGCGTGCAGGAGCAGCACCACGAGATGTTCAGAGGGATGACACACCACAGATGTGTCAGTGGGATCAGTTCTGGGATGAGTCAGGTCCCCCAGATCACACTTTCTGTATTACTCTGCTTGGAACATGTTGTGAAATTTCTTGCTGGCAGGTCTCGTTTATCAGAAACCTTTCTGGTTTTTTGGAAAAAAATCGAGGTGTGTCAGAGCAGTTGCATTTTATGCTATTTGATGTAATTTTATTCACCACTGAATGAATAAATGTGCAGCATTGCATTCTCCACTGTATCACTAAGCTCTTCTTTCCTCAACTCCCTGTGCTTATTTTCAATGTTTCTCTCAATGTTTAAACATAATATTTATATATATATTTATAATTTCTCCCTGCAAATAATATGCTAAGGTAGAAACACCACCTTTTTCCTATTTAGGGGTTTTTATCACAGAGGCATTTAAGGCATTGTGGCTGTAAGTTCTGTTGCTTTTAATTCCTTAGTGAATTAAACAAGGACACCTGGGAACAGACATAAGCAAAGCAAAGGGAAAGGGGCTGGGTTGAACTGGTCAAAAATCAACCAGGCCTCAGCACGTACAGTGCTTTTTTTTATTATTTTGCCTTAGTATCTTCAGCTTGTCCCAGCACTGCAAGTTCAGTTTTGTAAATAGATCCACCCCTAGATGGTGTTTGTCAAAATGCACTATCAGGAATAAATATAATTAGAGGGAAAAGGAAATTAAAAGTATTTGTTATACAGAACAGTTTCACTGATAGATCTCAAAATGTTTTGAGAGGGCAAAGCCCTGGGGGACTGGGGAAGCTAAGGCATGGGATAATCATTCATTTAATAACAATTAAGCTGCACCTTAGTTCTAAAAAGAAGAGAAATGCTGGTTTTCCTGTGAAGAGGATCACATTTATTTCCTTTACTCTCACAGCAACAGTGCCTAGAAGGTGCAGGCATGGGTGAAACATGGAGGGAGGGTCAAGCACAAGGTAAAAGCTGGTCTGTGCTCCTACAACCTTTCCATCTTGCTGTTCATGGTGCAGGGATACACTCAATAGATTTGCAAGTTAAACCTGGAAAGGATTAGAACTCACCAAAGAAAGAAATTGGTTCAAGTGAATTTCATTCACACAAGATGGATACCAGATCTCAGTCATTTAAATGAGAGGAATTTCTTTCCCATTATAATTGCATATTAGTGCTGGCTCCCATGGATTTGAAATGCAATGCAGAATACATTAAAGTTGTCAAACACAGCCGAGTGATTCTTTTAAGGTCAACTAGAGAGCAAATAACTTTACAAACTTTTTGGCTACAGTGGCCTTCAGCCACAAAGGGCTCAATATACAGCTACAATTAAAAAAATGTTTAAAAAGTGTTTCAAAAGTGTGATCCTACTGAGGAAAAGCAGATATTATAGACAGAGATCCTGCAGTACCTGCTTCTTCAGCTGGAGAAATTGTTTGCCCACTTCATCAGAGGTGAGATGTTATGTCCTTTTTCCTTTTATTGCAGAAAAAAGTCCACTCTTTATCTATTTCTAGAAAGCCACTGCTTCTGACTTGGCTCATTTCTGCCTTCAGAGTATTGTTATTTTGGTCTCTCTACCTCCTCAATGTTCTGCTTTGTCTGCCCTGTTTTCCCCTGTTGCATAAATGCTGTCTTCAAAGCCCAGCTTCAGGATATTTTCTACCCACGGATTCCATTCCCTGACCTTGGTCCTGAATTCTGGAACTGTGTGTCTCACTGAGTCCTTGCTCCATCTCCTCTGATACTTCCTCAAAATCCACATTTCCAAAGCCCTTCCATGACTTTTCTCACTTGATTCCCTGTTCCTCAGCCCTGCCAGGGGAGCAGCACTCTGTCATCTGCTGCTTTTTCTTGATGTTCTTGATTTGTAAAGTGTGAACCCAAAATTAAAAATATAGAAAAATATATTACCCTCTCTATGTGGAAAAATACTTCATACATCAGAAAAATCATTACTAGATGCAGAAAATTTCCATCTCACTCTTGAGATCTCCAGGGCAAAGCTCCATGGCCATGCTAAGTCCCTAAGTCAGGTGAGATGAATCCTTAGGGCATATTTATAAAATGGGCAAATAAAAAAATTTCCCCACCAGACCTTTTTTTTTCTTACTTTCCCAAGATTGGGACACACACTTGACAGACCATTCAATTATTCTCAGAGAGGATATTCTCTACTGCCCTTTCAGCCCTATAAAAGGTAAGGCTGAGAAAGTTCCAGACAAAGGAAAGAATCTGTATTTCTGCTACTGTTTAAAAAGATAATTTTTGTTTCCCTGTAGATTAAAATATCAAAGACGTGTGTTTTAGTGAGGTTGTGTATTGAAGCAAAATTATCACACACCAAAACAAGGCTTTCATGTATGATATTCTCAAAACTTGGCTCTGTGTTCTGCTACAAAACCATGTGCTGTGGTTGCATTTAGAGAGTCTGAGCACTGTGGCTTTACCACAGAACCAAGGATGTTACAAACACCCAGGAACAAAAACAAGTGTTCCCCATTCTTTACTTAGTGCACTTTCCATGCAGCACTCCGTGCCCAGGCTGGTCTTCCTTCCTCTCCCTCTTTTCTAATGTTCCCTCTTCTGATTCCACATTTTGAGTCCAAGTCCCCAGCCCAGCCCCCCTGCTAGGGCAGGCGTGAGATCCATCAGTGCATCAGGTAAATCCCTCTGATTATCAATGTGAACACCTAAGAGCATTCTTCCATCACTGCAGCTAATGAAAAGAAAGCAGCACCTTAAATCTTTGCTTTGGAGAAGGGAGATTAGGTGTCTGCTGTGCTCTAGAGAGGTTTTCCCAGCTGCACTTCTCACAGAAGGAGCTAAGAATGCACATTCCTGAGGCTAAATTATGCTTAACATGAGAAAGCTTAGTCCACTGTGCAACCCACTCTAGCCTTGCTGTATATGGAATTCTTTTGCATTGGATACCACTGCTTAGATCAATGGCAAACAGCTGGTCAGCAGGATTAAGCCAAGAGGTAAGAGAAGTGCATTTCTCCCAAACACAATTTTCTATGGTCCTAGAGCTCCTGACAGTTCATATTCCACTTTATTTTACACCGTTTTTCAAACAGAGACATCTGGTACAGCAAACTCAGCAGGGACTGAACTTCCAGATCCTTAGAACAGCACATTCTTCTTCTTCACTGCTGGGAATATTCAAAACTACCTCCATCCCCCTAAAACTGGTCTCTCCTCCATTGCTGTTTGTATTAAAACCTGTGCCATTTTGGTAATTTTATCTGCACTGTATTTCTGGCTCTTACACTGCAGATTCACTACTACTCAATTATTTTTTAAGATAATCTCTCTATAATCTAAGGTACAGCTAACTATAATCTCACAGGCAAATTACAATAAATTTTGGGTCTGTGCCCCAACCAACATCCGTGATCTATTCCCACCTCACAATTTCACATAAGCAATAAATTACATCAATGTGGAAAAGAATCCTGCAGAGCTGAGGCTTGCTTGTTAAAGGATCCTTTGGGAATAGGTTTTAAAGTTAGAAAAAGTTAATTACCATTTCAGTCCTGTTGTCAGCATCAATTCCTTCACTTTGCCTGTTCAGTTTCATCTTCATGAACTGGACCATTTAGAGAGCCCAGTTTCACACAGCACATAAATCCCCAGGGCATGATTTAACTTTTCAGGCACAGCTGGGGAAATATCTTCATTTTGGCCTGGTATGTTTTGATTTGTTGGTGTCTCTGGGGAGAGGTGCTCTTCATCCCTGAACTGGGCAGCTGTGTGCAGTGCCTGGTTTCTTCCACTGCTTCTGCCCAAAATGTCAGAACATCCAGTTTCCTACCAATCCCATCCTACTGCCTTTTTAGTAAGGGGAAAATCGTCCTGGTTTTGCACTTTGCTGCTTTAACTTCACATCAGAATAATGTCAGAGCTGGTGACACACAGCCACGTGACAGAGGAAGTTCTGAGTTTAGGTTATTGTGGCATGACTCACTGTGTTTTACCTAGCACTAAAAATACCTGTTACGAATTTTCCCCGCTCACTTCTTGTGGACTAAAGGACTAAAGCCTCATCTATCACTGCTCTGCCAGCTCAGACATGGAATAGGAACAGGCAGGAGGGTTTCATGCAGCCTGGTACTGCCAGCTCACCAACCGAGAGCAGTTTTGTGGTTGGGTGAGTAACATACTTGGGTGGGAAACATGAGGAAAGAAACCTGAAAGAACTGATGTTGATCTAGATGCTGGGTTTCCATCCCTCCAGTATCTCCTGTGTGATATCTGGCAGCTCCTGTGGAAATCCCAAATGCCCTGAGACATCTCAAATGGCATCAGACACCCCAGCTCATACCTATCTGTTGGCTCAGATGACAAGGCTTGCAGATCTCAAAAAGCTTTTCAGACTTAATTTAGGGAGCACTCCAGCAGAACAAATAATTTTTCTAAAAACTTTCTAATTTTTGTGTTTCATGGCTGCCTATTGTCTCAATACACAAGTCTCCTTCTAATTCCAAGGGTTTGTCTCCATCCACTCCATCATAATAATGGAAATCACCTCCAGAATTTCTACAAATGCTGTAGACACCAAAAATCCATTAATATGGGGAGAAACAGAAATTCCCATCTGCCTTAGGAGAGTTAAATGTTCTCATAATTCTGTAACTGACAGAAGGGTTAAATCCCTATAACCACAATTATACCAGCTTCTCTGTTTGACCTATTTACTACATCTGAGTGCAGAGAAATGCACTCCCAGGACACTTTTGGGGTGTGGGAAGTGAGAATAGTTGGTAGGGGCTGATGAATTTTGTGAATGAAGGAAAGAGAACAGTGGACATCAGCATAGAAAGAGAAGGAAATAGTGGCACACACCTTGTCATGGGGACAAAAAATTGGAATATGTGCAAAGGGAAAATTAGGAGGTAAACAGAACATCAAGACATCTTAAGGTAATGTGAGGGCAGTATTTCAAACCAGTAATAGCAGAAGTGCAACCCTGGAGCAGCTGTGGAGGGGTGCAGAATCCAGGGAAAGCTGGTCTGGGCAAAACTAGATCTCTACAGGCTGTGAGGCAGGTAATGCCCAGATGTGCTGACCTTTTAAAAGATTGATATTTTCATATCACACAAACTCAAAGAAGTTGATTGGCTAATTACCAGCAAGGTGCAAAACAGAAAAAAAAGCCCAAAAAACAAAATTAATCTTCCTTAAAAATGTAAAAAGTCATAAATCTAGTAAAGGAAAATATCTACCCTGCCATTCCCTACTCCCTGGATTCATCCAATCCCTTGGCTTTTTTACCACTCACACAGCAAAGATGTTGATTCTTTTAGGGGCAAACCATGCAGTTTCCTTGGGCACAAAGATGGAATGAAGTTTTAGGCATGATTCACTCCAGAGGTCAGTATGGTCCAGACCTCACCAGGTCTGCATCCTTTCTGCAGTCTTCCCAAACTATTCCAGGAGGTGCCATGACACAAAGTGGAAGAAAGACGTGGAGGTGCTGAAACAGGTCCAGAGAAGGGCATTAGAGCTGGGGAAGGGTCTGGAGCACAGGTGTGATGAGAAGAGGCTGTGGGATCTGAGGGAGCTCTGCCTGGAGAAAAGGAGGTTCAGGGGGGACCTTTCCACTCCCTACAACTGCCTGGCAGGAGGGTGCATGGGTTACATGCCCAGTGCCTACTTCTTCTAGAAGGAGGAGTAAAAACTGCATAAAGAGAAGCACTTCTGAAGGTATATAAGATATGCTGAGACAACTAAAAGTAATCATGGCATAGGATATTTTGTAATATCCGTATTCATTCACAGCTCCTCCCAGTGTGAGGACTGGTACAATAAACCCAAAAGCTGATGACTTTGATATCAAACACATTGGTGATGACCTCTAGTATGGGAGAAGACAGTGTTTTAAAATGTTATGATGGTTGTGAAAGAGAAGGTTCTTGAAAATGGGAGCAAAATATTTCATGTGCCAATGAAGCATTTAAAAGACAAAGGGATGCAGGCACAAGGTCACAATGAGACCTGGGAAATTCATCTTCCAAAATTATTTCTGGATCAGAGAAAGGAATATGGCTGTAAAGGTCAAAGAAGATACTGCAGTTATTTAGATGTGAGAAGACAAGAATTTGAGCAATGTGGATGAAATTAAAAGGGTTAATCTAAGGAAGGTTGTGTGAGATCCTGCTGCAATGTGGATGTTCACCATCTCCCAAGTGCACCATTTCTGCACAATCCCTGTCTGATGTGTGCAAGTTCAGAAGAACCCAACATTTGATCATCAATTAATAGAATGATTGCCCTTTATGATAGTAGGTTAAATGTTGTGGGTTTTCTTAAGAAGATACTAATGAGTTGTAGGTTTGAGTGCCTTGTGCTAAGATTCAGATCTGCAATCTGCTTCAAAGAGGCTTTTGAAGTCTTGAGGGAAACAAGCTTTTAGCTTTCAGGGAAAGTGAGAGTACATGATCTCAACTTGCTGCTGATCTGATAACTCTTTAATTTTAATCACCCTGACAGTCTGTGGTAAACCATGTGGTTAACTATTTCGGGTGCAATCGCTTCTCTCAAAGCCACAGTCTGATGTAGTTTACAAGGCAAATGCTTTGATAACACAAAGGTACAAGGGGATTAAAACAACCCTTATGCAGATTAGCTGTTAAACTGCTCACATACTTTTAGTTGTTGTCTTCTTCAACCTTTGTGACTTTTACTAAACAGCAAGACAATGTAAAGTGAGACGGGTAGAAAATATCAAAGTGAGGAAATCAAAGAAAAGGGCATTGCAGGGCTGGAGGTCGCTGTTGGTCTTTCAAGGAGAAGGCAGTTTGGGAGTCAAGGGCAGACACCAAATGATGAACAGTTATCAGAGACTTGAGGGCCTTTTGCAGTCATTTCTGCTGGTTTTTAAGGCTGCATTAATTATAGCTGCAGAAAATGGAAGGATATGATGACTAAGAAATTTCACTCCTGGTAGCTGTTACTGTTGTGCATTAGCACAGAAGGCCACAGATTGTGCACCCAAAGATCCAGAATGCCAGCCCTGGTGCAACCAGACTATTTGATCCTTTAATTTCTCAGCCTTTAGGCCTTAAATAATCATTAAGTAGTGCCTTTATCAACCTCTGGATGCCCAGCTCAGCTTGAGCAGGCTTTTCAAATGCACTGAAATGATTTAACTTAATTAATTCCAGCTGATTGAGAAATATATTTAGACGTGATTTGCTGATGACACAACACTTCACGTCCTTGTTTTGGGACAAGTTTTATTTAGGTTTGCAACCTTATTTCACAGTAAGCTGCTCTTTGGTGTCCTCAGACAGAACTGAGTCTACACCCATTCCCAATGTTTGCTTGGAGCTGATTACAACTTTTAATTGCTTACTTTTGCCTATTGCACTTCACTCCATAGACTCCATGCACACTTTGGTGTGGGTAGCTGCTCTCCAAAACGATTGTGTACAGCTTCATTAAGAAAGTGTTGATAGTGTTTCATGTTGTCCATCTGCTGGACATGTCTAGTATTGAGAATGAGGATGCCCTTGATGCATGAACTAAAATGCCAGGCTGTCCTGATTCTCGGGCTTTCCATTTGCAGGTATTTGCCCACGTCTTCCAAGGCCTGAATTTGCTGATGTTACTGCTGAAATGTATCCACCACAGACCAAACTGTACTATGAGTGTGACCCTGGCTATGACAGAGAAGCTGGTGCATACCTAGGAATTCAGTGTAAGAGCAAACAGCAGGGTGCTGTTTGGGAATACCAACTATTTAAATGCTTTGGTGAGTGAGTGTTGTTTTTTTCCTATACATAGAGGTGTTTCTCCAATGTGTTACTTGGTATAAAACAAATCTGAGCATTAACAAAAGATCTTTTGTGATTATTTTTCTAAGTTAGAATTTGAAACAGTTCTATCCAACCTGTAAAAGCTTGGGTGCTCTGGCACTTTGTTCCAATATTTGTCCTGCTGTAACTCAACAAATGTAACTTCTCCACAGATGAGAAAGATTTGTTGTCGGTGGCTCCCACGATGGAGTTAGAACTTACACAGAAGCCAGAAAGAGAACCAAGGAGCCCTGCAGCCCAGAAGCAACAAGACCTTTCAGAGTCCAAACAAAAAGGTAAATAAGAGCTCATTTAATACTGTAATGCTTCTCCTGCTGATTTTCATGGAAGTAGTGTAAAAATGGTGAATAATATTCAATTATTTCACAGACAGATGGAAAGAAATTATTTCTGTAATATCTTGGCTGAGTAAGGATATGGTATAAGCAAATGAGTGTTTTGTATCCTAACAAAGAATTAGAAAGGGTTGGTATATCCTGCTTGTCTATATTTTCTAAGAACACAAGATTTTCAGAAACAGAAGCAGTATATAAAATCTGTCTGCTTTAACCTTGTGCTGCCTTGTGCTCCCACAGATTTCTGTGGTCCTCCCAAGACTGTTCCACATGCCTCCATAAGTCTGCCCCAAAAGCATTACGTGGGACAAGTCTTACATTTCAAATGCCAGACAGGTTATGATAAAAGACCCCCCACCTTTGGCAGCAGAATGTGCAAGGAGGTGAACGGCAAAATCGTCTGGACCCCCCTTGATATGAGATGCACCAATGACAGCAACCAGTGGCCACCACAGACCATTGGGCCAGGTAAGATGGTTGTGATTACACTACAACAATGTCCTGACCTGCTCATGTGGGGTTCAGACCCCCACAACTCTTGTGGGGAGAGTGGCAGCTTCAAAAAATTTACTAAAGAAGCCCTGCCACTGAGAGGAAGAAAGAACTCCCTTGTGTATTTAAACACCTTCAGAGAAAGGGGTTTAAATGAAGGCAAATCCTTCCTTAGTCTCAGATTTTGTCAACAGTTTGACTTTAAGGAATCACTCTATCCTGCAAGTTCTATTGATGGCAAATCAGATGTATTTATATAAAAATTAATTGTTTATTAAGACTAATGAACAGGAGGTGACAGACAAAAGATCTTCACTACACAGTATAAAGCTAAGAGAACTACTAACAGATTATAGCATAACATAAAACAGTGCAATGTATCCAGACATCTATATTAAAGCCAAAAAAAGAAATAGTATTGGTTAGGAGTCAAATGTAACTTACCACTGAAATGATGTTAATGTACACAGACAGATTTCTTCACTTAATCCTTTGGGAAGTAACTGTGAAATAGATGTCCCTAATCACAGGAGAAACTCCACACATTTCCAGGAAAATATACAGATTTCTGCTATGTGAAAGTTTGCTGTGGCTTTTATAGCTGTAAAATGAATGGCTGTCAGCGAGAAATTCAGCCTATTTTGTCATTCCAGCCCTTGTGGCCATACCAGACCACTGCACACACTGTTCCAGCATCAGTCCAGGACTTTCTCCCCTGTTTCATAAATCTGTTTCCCTGTGGTCCCTGGGAGTGCTCCCAGTAGTCACAGTTTGCTGTCTGGTCTTTTCTTTTCCATCATGACACCATTGAAGATTTCACTTGGTGCTACCAGGATAAAAGAACTTCTTGCTGTGATGGATATAACCCATCAACAAACCAGTCCTAGAAGATAATACAGGATATTGAAATTACATCTATTTAAAAAGTACAAATATTATAAAAAAATTAAATTTGGATTGTAAAAAACATGGGACTGGATCACAGAAGAAGCCCCCTCAGCCTTTAATTCAAGAGAATTAAACTTAATTTCACTTTCCTGCAAAATGCTCTCAAACCTCAGCAAGCTCAGATCCTTGCAAATAGAACACCAAATATTTATTCCCCTAAGGTGTTGCCTCTGTATTTATTATGATGTGATGTATGTAATGGGGCTGGAGCTTTCTCAGTTCAGCATTCTGCACAAAAGAAATTAATCAAGAAACCACTATTACAAGATGTCTTGTTAAAAGTCTATCCATATCTCATACTGGGGCAAGTTTAGAGCTTCCTTTTCAGGATAAGAGAGAAATTAAATTAATTTCTTGTACCAGAAAAGTTTTAGTTTACATTTCTGGGCAAAAAACTGGTCCTGGTTGAAACCATGTTTCCAAGTACTAGCTTGGCACCTTTAAAGTCATCATTCCAGTCTCATATGAAGTAAAGATCTTACATGGATTCCATTCCAGTTTACTTCATGCCCACCATTAACAGGTATCAGATCAGAAGAGATGTTATTATCCAGACTGGAAAGATCTACTGATGGCCAAGAAACAAACACAGCAATTTTCAAGTGTTCTGTGCAGAGGGTGAGCTGTCAGACTCCACCCTTGGCACTGCTTTGGTGTCGGAATGAGCTGGCTCTTTGCCTCACTCTGTCCTCATCCCTGCTCTGGTGCTCTTCATCAGACGAGCAAATTGATACAAATATTAAGAATTTCTCTCTCTCCATAGGTTTGACTCTTCTGTCCTCTTTCCCTATTTCCTCAGGGACACTGCCAGTGACGGGTATGTTGTTTTATTAAAGACTTCACTCAATCACCCAGAGCACTTAGTTGGTCTTTCAGTTTGTTGTTCTATTCCAAAGAGATCCATTTCTGTTAGAAGCGCTACTAAATATGCTGCAAGACAAATCTATATCCATGTATTGTGTGAGAAGTTAGTAAAGACAGTATAAACAGATTGTTTAAGCACTAAAGCTTTTATAAAGAAGTTTTCAAAGATTCATAAGGAATGTAAAAAAAACCAGATCAACCAAAAGTCTGTTTTATAAATGGAGCCATTTTCAGATTCTTCTCTGAGACTTTATGTGAATTCAACAAATCAGTTCAACTGGAAAAAAGCAGGAAAAAAAGTAAATATTTAAATGCTGAGTTTTTTTCACATTTTCAAAGGAATAAAAAAAAGATGGGCAAATAGAACATTTCTTCACAGCTAAACTAGTGCATTTAGATCAGTGTGAAGAGATTTTCTTCTCCCTCTTCCCCATCTTCCACTCAGACATTAGCTGATGAAATAGAAATTGTGTCTTACTGTACATATGTTCAAGATTTTGCACAAAGGCTCTTGATTCCAGCTGGAGTCTGTAGAAAACTGTGGTGCACGTTATGGTGAGAAGGAATAATGGAGTGAGATGAAGGAAGGGAAGGAGGAGTTTTGCAAACTATTCCAGAGACCACAACATCAGTAATGCCTGGTTATTTCACTGTGGTCAGTCTCTAGTTGCCTAAGTCCCCTCTGGTTGGGTCCTGGGAGCAGTGGAGCAACATGAAAAAATTCCTGCCTCTGGGCAGAGGGGCAAGATGAGAGCTTATCCCTAATCTTGCCTGTTTCTCCCCGTTGGAAAAAATGCAATAATTAAGATAACTCCAGGTGCTAATCATATTGATTTTCAGGTTTTACAGCTATCTGGTTTGTTCTGCTTATGATTCCCACTGCCTTTGTGTGATTCACCAAGCAGACAATAAGGTAAGTGGGACAGAATGAGGAAAATGTGAAATCAAACAAAAAAATCTGTAGAGGTGGAAGAGTTATTAACTGGATCAGCCTCTCCCTATTGCAGTGCTTAGATTTCTAGACCTCTTCTTTGGTTTTAAATATGACCCTGGATTGTCTGATTCAGCTATTAAATACTGGTACAAGGAAAGGAGGAATAAGAGCTTTTAAAATCAAAAAATCTCAGACCAAGTTGCCCAGAGAGGCTGTGGACTCCTCATCCCTGGAAGTGTCAAAGGCCAGGCTGGAAGGGGCTTGGAGGAACCTGGGATAGTGGAAGGTGTCCCTGCCCATGGCAAGGGGATGGAATGAGATGGGCTTTAAGATCCCTTCCAACCCAAATCATTCTGTGATTCTATAATTCTAAAAAGCAGTCTTTGTCCCTTTGTCTCAGTGGAACTGAGAATGGCAATTCAAATAATGGATGAGAGATTAATTCTGTGGGAAAATTAAGGTTAATTATGCAAATACATTGTTTCAGATAGATTATCAGTCTTTTTCTCTCTGGCCAAACTGTGGGAAGTCTAGGGGAGCATCTGCCACCACAACCATGTAATTCTGTTTTCTTCATCCCCTGATTTCAGAGGTGCGTCATGACAACTTTGTACTTCAGATTTATTTCAGTCTGGCCTCCTCCCTGTTTCTGTTACTACACTGAGATGCACCAAGGCTGTTCCTGTACACAGGCTCCCCAGCCTAGTTAAGCCAAGATGTCCCTATTTAACATTTGGGAATTCTTCTCTTCTCCTCTCTCTTTGCTAATCCTCGTCCCTGTTTCTCTTCATGTTCCTTACTAATTACTGATACTTCTTAGCTGAATGGGGATTTTTCTTGAAAAGTGAGAAGGAATGTCCTCAGGAAATCACATCAGAAGCAGATTTTTGTCAATTAATGACTGGATAATGCCATATAAAGTGTAAACAATGCTTTGAAACATGCTTTAGTGAGGATAGTCAACCATGGTGCAGATTGCCCTGGCCATTGTAGTATTTCTGAAAATATGCTATGCGAAAAAGTGTCAAGAATGATCCACATTTTACCAGCTCTGTGGTGGAATAAAGGTGAAATAGCCAATGCCAGATGAAATAGTAACTGACAATGAAATGTAAATGAAATAGTAAATGACAATGAAAGAGTAACTGGGATCCTAAATGATGTCTTTGTAAAAAATACTCTGTTGTTTCTCATAGTAAATATAGAAGAAGCCATAGAAAACCTGCTTCTTCCCACCTGTAGTAAAGTCTTTTTCCTGTTGCAGGGAAGACTTCTCAGGGAATTGTGGCATTCAGATGCAAACTTGTGAAATTAATGACTTGCCACAGAAGAAACCAGAATGTACCACTGACCCCAAGGCCAGCAGTGGCAAACGAGGAGGAGGCCTGGACACTCAAATCCAACGTGTGAAGGAGGCAGAAGATGTTACAGCTTAACTCTTATGGGGACAGCATGACTTTCCACCTACAGAGTGCTGGTAGGAGGACTGCACCCCATCACTGACAGATGGGAAAGGAGCCCTGCCTAAAACTACTTCCCAAACCCACTTCTCCTCCTCCTACCATGCAGCAGACGTATTTCTAATATAACTGCAGCCCCTCCCAAACCACCAGGAGTGCATATGGACCATTCTCCCAAGCACATGAGATGGTGCCACCATCATTTCAGCCCACACACCACCCTCCCCACACCCAGAGCAGCTTTGCTGGACACCTGATGTCCCCCTGCCTCTTCCCCACCCATGTGGGTCAGGCACAATTTTCTCCTCAAATTGTTCCCCTTGGAAATGAAACCCCTTCACCCCCTGCATTGCAGCTGAAAATCTGACTGTACTCCTTTATGGTTCACTATATCCATGCATTCCTCATCACTCCCCTCCTCCCAATTATTTTGGATTTGTGCCTTCCATGACAGTTCCTACATCATTCCTCCAGCTCAGACAAGGATGGTGCAGATCATGGCAGCTGATTAATTTGACAGCTCCTTTCATAGCTGCAGAGCATGACAGAGCCCAGTGCAGAGGCATCTGAGGGCAGGCTCAAGCACATATAATCCTTGACATGTTCTTGTATTGTTGGGAATTTGCAAGGTCTGGATATTCTTCTTCCTCTTTTTAGCCATGCTTATCTGGGTAAGATGGGCTTCACCTGGCTGAATGCAAGTATCTGTGTCTGAGGAAGGCAGTGGGGAGGAACAAGTCCCTTTAGAGAGCAGTTTATGTCTATATTGCCTAGATATATATGTAATAATAAATATATATAATATACAATATTATATATATTATTATTACGTAATATATATATGTGAATATGTATTTATTTATACACACACAGAGATATATAGTTACTTATATATATATACAGGCCAAATGACTCAGGGTCATGACCTGTTTCTCTGTATTGACTTTAACAATGCCCAGATTCACCAGATTAACTACAAATGCTTACATGGCATATGACAAAAGCCAAATGAGATGGATCACTTCCTTAGAATTCAGAAGACATGAGGTAGTTTTGGCGTAGTTTTCTATTTCAAGATAGAGTGTGTGTGTCATTGGTTTACTGGTTAGGATTATTGTTGAGTCATTCTCACTCTATAGCCTCGATGTTTATATTTCCCATGGTTTATTTTATTCCTGTTGGAACAGAACTTATTTGTATTACGTATCTTATCACATGAACCCTCAGTAAGTTCAAGGATAACTTCAGGTATGCTGGGAACATTGATCTGCTGGAAGGTAGGTTTTCTCTCTCTGGGGTACACACTGAGACAGCTGGGGGTGTTCAGCCTGGAGAACAGATTACTCCAGGGAGCCCTTGGAGCCACTTCCAGTGCTGAAAGGTGCTCCAGCAGAGCTGAAGAAGTACTTTGGACATGGGCATGAAGTGACAGGAAAAAGGGGACTGGCTTCCCACTGCCAGAGGGCAGGGTTAGATTAAATATTAGGGATACATTCTTAACTGTGAGGGTGATGAGGCACAGGCTGCCCAGAGTGGCTGTGGCTGCCCCATCCTGGAAGTGTCCAAGGCCAGGTTTGACAGGGCTTGGAGCATCCTGGAATAGTGGAAGGTGTCCATGCCCATGGCAGGGGGTTGGAACTGGATGATCTTTCATGTCCCTTCCAACTCAAACCATTCCATAATTCAATGAAGTCGCAGGGAGTGGGACTCATGAGTTGTTTTTCCCCATTTCCCATAGTAGTAGAGCAGCTTAAAACAAATTTTCTGCAGCTGTTAAAAGAAAACGATGTGATATGTTCACCTGGAACATCTTCATGTGTATTCACAAGAGGTGGCTTATACATTCCCAAACTATGGGGTCAATAGCTCAAATGTTCTGCCTTCTTCACCTGTGCTCTCTGATAATCACAATCTGTGTGATACTCTTAAACTGCTGTTTTCTAGAGACTTCTCATGCTTGAAACTGGAAGATGCTTAGCAGCCAAACCTTCTCCTCATTCATTTTTTTCTTTTATTTTTTTCCCATAAAAAATCAAGATAAAAAACTTGCTTTTTAATCTTTTTACATATCTAAGATTCAGAATTTACCTAGACACAAAGTGTTTGTGGGTAGTCATAGTCATTAAATTCCACCTGCATATAAACCAGCATGGGATGGACAGAGATAAATCACTGCTCCTAGCATTTACTCTTTGAAGGATGGAGGCAGTGCAACCTGTTTACTTCCAGCTCAGAAACACTGGTTCAGCCTTCTTGAGATTGCGGGTTTTTCTATCATATTTATATCTCACAATTTCATTTGCTTTGGGCTTTGAATATTTTGTGAAGGTACTGGGAAAAATGTAACTTAATATGAAAAGAAAAACAAAAGGATGCCAACTTGCACTCCCAAGGTACAGTACCACTGTTGAATAGTGTTGGCATTTTCTGGACTTCTTCAGTGTTTGATGTAAAACCCCTCAAACCCATCGGCACAGCAGAACCATCCATCCAGCACTTGACACAGATCAGGCTGATCTTGAGTGTATATTCCCTTTTAGTTCTCTTCAGTTTATGGATCTGCCTTCTTGGAAGGTTCTTTAGATTACGAAGCATTTGGGGATCCGAGTTTACAATTAATCACAAATTAGCAGTTCCTTATAAACAATGTCAAGTAAAACCGGTCTTTGCCTAAATAGTTGCTGCTTTCAGAGTAAACATGAATGTGACCTGGATGCTCAGGAGCAGCTCATGTTGTGGCCTTTGAGTATTCCTTAGAATGGATCTGATGTTTACACAGACATAAATAATCATCTGGATAATTTTTCTGAGCCCCTCATAAATGGAGTGCCATCCACCAGGGGAGGATACATTTGAAAGTGCAAAAAGACTTGATATGTTTGGGTTTTGTTGTTGGCTGTTGGAGCTCCAATATTTGTACGGTTGCTGTGTGAAATCTGAATTTGTAAATTCCATTGGAGGAGAGGCTAGACAATAGCCAAGAGCAACAATTAAAACAAAAATAATAGGGAAATTCTCCTATTGTGTCATCAGTTTGAATAGGTTTGGTGGTTCTTGTGTACATGGAGTGTAACTTCACAGGATTCCGTCCAGGTACACAACAGATAAGTAGTTCCACAGAAATCATAGGAGATAAAATCTTATAAAACTTTCCTAACAGGTGTGGCCTTTGTATTCAGAGGCTAAGATGGTTAAATAAACATCTAATATTGACCTAATTTTTAATCTGACTTTGGATATAAAAATAACACATGAAAATAAACATTTGGGTTTTGATAATTTTAACTTTCCTCTCCTCTAAAAGATCTGAACAAGATAAAGCAATTAGATTAGTGGAAGTAATATTTTTTTTCCCTTTTCTAGATTAGCATTTAATTTAAGATAGGAAACTCCCAGCAGGACCTCCTGTGAGACTCAGGAAAGACCCTCATGTCTTTGATCATCATTTCCCAGGAGAAAGCCTCTCCCTGCAGGGTGAGATGAAGAGATGTGCATTTCCCCTGGCCAAACATCTGGAGATTGGCCTGGCAGCACCACAAACAGAAGGTGTTCCATGCAGAACCACACACAGTACGTTTGCTGCCTCCATGGGAGAGATCCGGTAGCTCCCATGTGTTCAACCCAGCAGATGGGGATGGCATCTCCTGTGCCCAGGGGATGGAAAAGCACCTGGAAGCACTTCCCAGGCTGCCTTCCCAATGAGCAGCCAAAGATACTCCTGGGTGAACCAAAGGAGCTTTGCCCAGCAGAGGCCAGATTATGCCAATGTCTTGATTTTTTTATTTCTTCTCTTCCAGAGCAGCTCTTAACAATTGGTTCATCTAATGCAATCTGAACCCTTGGTGTTACTGGAAAAAGACTAAGCAAGCTGCATGATCCAACCCACTTTGCACTGAAGTGAGTTTAGGTCACAGTGTCCCCTCACAGCTCCCAGCAAAAATAATTTTTCCTTAGTGTCTAAAATCCCTGTGACACACTGGATCCTAGAGCTCTCCCCAAAGATGGACACACAGAGTAAACTGCAAAATTACCCTCCCATGTCAGTGCAGCTGCCTCTTTCCAGGGAACAGAGGTGCTTCCCACCCCACTGTGGGCATGGGCGGCTCTGGGCTCAGCAAAGGATTGTATCCCTGTTCCACATTCACACCAGGCTCAGCAGAAAACAGAGGCAATCCCAGATGAAAGGTGGCTGGCAGCATGCTTGTGGAGCTGGGGCAGCCCTCTGCTCAGCTCCAAGCTGGGCTCCTGTGAGAAACACCTCCAATACCTGTGGGAAGGCAGTAGTCAGGTGGATCCTTTACCTTGTGTCTTCCAAGTATTTCATCTGCCTGCTGTGGAAGGCAGGGCATTTCTGCCAAAGTGGTAGAATACTCTCAAATGCCTCTGCTGCAGTCTGAGACTGGCTATTTGTATAGGATCTTCATGAAGGAAGTTGTCTAGGTTTTCCCAAACAGGGTGTAGAGTGAATTTGTCCAGGAGTTCTGCCAGCACCTGTGTTTGTCTAGAAGACTTCTGCACTGCCTTGGAAGTGGTTTTGGTATTCAATATGCTCCCCCCCCATTCTAATTAAAATGTTTGATGTTAGTTCTCAAGGTGACTTGGCTTGAGTTTTTTCCCAAGAAATAAACTAAGCAAACACAGGGAAATGTAAACTCTGTTGTGATTGCAGTACAGGAGGAAGGGAATTTTGAAATGACTCAGATGATTCTTTTCATGTTGGGCTTCCCAGGTGCTTCACAGGCTTACTGTGGAGGGCAGGACATTTCTGGGTAGTGCCAAGGGTAAAGGTCCTCAGGATCATCAGGTGCAGGGAGCTGATGGAGGTGGGAGTGATGGAGATGATCAGTGGTTCCAGAGCCTGGTTCCAGAGGGAGCTGTGGGGCATGGGATGAGCAGTGGTGAGGATGAGTATGATCTCAAGCCCCAGCAGGTGTGCAGAGGTGGGTGAGCAAGTCAGAGGGAGCCCCCTGAGGTACAGCAGAGGTGTGTGCAGATGTGCCTCAGCCTGAAATTGCACTGATGCTTTCATCCCATCAGGGGCTGTGTCAGCATTTGATCCCAGAGAAAAAAAACATGCAGGCAGAGGACCTGGGATCTCAGGAGCTATCCAGCAAAGGGGGTGAGAGTGATGTTCTCACTTTGTTCTCCTAAAAGGCCAGATCTTCTCCTCGGTCTCGGTGCAGCCCAGCTGGCACAAGGCAGGGCTCTTGCTGCTCTGCCCATGGCAGCTGGAGGTAACAGGAGCAGAACTCCCTGGTGCTGCCAGGCAGTGCCCCGTGTCTGTGCTGGGATCTGGTTCCCTGTGCTCAGGTGTCCAGAGCCCCCAGAGCTGCCCCTGGGGAATGGGCTTGGCCTCTGGCTGCTGGCCCAGGTGGGGGTGGGTATTGCCCAGGGTTCTGCAGCACATCAGCCAGCCCCAGTGGGGCTCTCCAGACCTCAGGGCAGCTGCAGTGGCCCGGGGTGTGTCTCCTTATGCAGCTGAGGCCAGCCTGGAGCTCTGCTGGCTGCGGTCAGAGCTGGGACACAGCACACCTGGAGACACCTGCATGGGGCTGCCTCACTCTGCACCTCTAGCCCACAATATTGAAGTACCTCTGGAGCTTGTTGCTCCACACACTGATGATGAAGGAGATGAGTTTTCAGGAGAACATTTAACCATTTCATGTGCATAGCAGAGCTGGGACTTGGACCCAAGGGCATTTTAAAAAGCCCTGATTCAAGGAAAGGCAGTAAAACCATATTTTCCTTCCCTGAGTGTGATAGGCTCTGAGCAGT